TCTGTGTGTGAAGAAGGGGTGTATGCTGTAAACATTTGGATGGACATTGTGAACTTAGAATTGAACTGGAGTCACCTTAGTAAATGGTATTTTGTGTGATTGAAGCAAACTTCATTTAGCAACATGAATCTCTAAACTTTTCATATGCCATCATTTCCTAATTTTCAAATATTTAAAGAATTTTGAGGCTTGATGCGTGGATAAAAAAATACACTGCACATATAAAGTGTTTTTTTTCCAAATGCATCTTGGTTGGGAAAACCCCCAAATGGTTTGCTATTGGCAAATCACCTCTAAAGCACCTAATATTTATTTTAACAGTTTAGTCCAGCACTGAGGCCAGTAACTTCCCAGCTTCTGCTATTAGTGCGTGCAATATCCACCCTTCTGTGCGTGAATGTCCACGCCATGCCGGGTGCCCGATGGCACTCCGCTGTCTCAGTAGCCAGGCCAAAGACTAGAGATTTTCCATTAATCCTTAACTTTCTTCCCCTGCCTTTCAGCTAGTGCTTATTACTTTTCTAAGTAGGGATTGCTGCGAGACAATTATTACTGGAAACAACCCAAATCTGTCAAAACTTAGCCACGAGGAGTTTGTCTGAACCCTGTAGAGCAGCTTCATTTTGGACAAGAGTTGGAGCAAATGGGGAACATGATTAAGCAAAGCTGCTTGTGCCGAGTTACAATTCATTATGCAGTCTGGACAAATCATTTATTTCACCTTTCCTGTTGGAAAAATGCTTGATGCCTCATTTGTTATTGCTCCGCTTGTCTGATTCACTGCTGATCGTTGTACCGGGCTCCAAGGAGAAAACATGATGGGTCCTAATTAGATGCTTCACTGGGTCCTAAAATCTGTGAGCGCAGATGGGTGGTGAAGATTGCTGGTTTGGGTGGGTGAGGGGTCTTGGGGGATCTTCTTTTGAAGGGATTTTTGGATTGCTCTTTATTATAGTCAGCTGAACCGAAGCGGGACTGTCTTGAAGTGCAACAGGCAGGCACTATTATGTATCCTTCTTCTCAAGATGAAGCTTCAAGTTGATTGCACCAAAACACTTGTATTGCATAGAAAAAATTATTTTTGAAGCCTTCCTGGTTTAGTCAGCTTGAGATGTTCTACACGTGTGTGCTGGTTTAGTCAGGGAAGAGTTAACTTTCTTCACAGTGGCTGGTATGAAGCTCTGTTTCTGGATTTACCCTGAGAAAAGTGCTGATAAGGTGTCTCTCTTGTTGGTGCTGGGGAATGTCTGCATCAGATTCAAGGTCTCTCTCAGCTTCTGATGCTGCAGCTGCGTTCTCAACTCACTCGCTGCAGGCATTGTGGGGGGACACACAGTTCAGACAGCCGACCCAAACTGACCAAAGGGGGATTTCATTCCATAGCATGTCATGTTTGGTACGTCGGCGGGGAGCAGGCTGGTGGGCCATAACTCTTCTGTTAGCCCCGTAACTCCTTTGTTAATTCCTTTGTTAGCTGCTTTGCTATTCCTTACCTTGCCCGCACGTTAGGGAGTTGGTGAATCAGTTGGCTTTCTCGGTCGTGCTGTTGCTGATGAGGCTCCCTCAGACTCTGCTGCGATCACTCTCAGACTCTCAGGCTCTGACTCTCGCTACTTGGGACCTGGCTGTGCATCGGTCGGCGGGTGGTGAGCAATTGTGTCAGATGTTTTATTTTCTATTATTTTAATTGCTTAGTAGTAGTAGTATTGTTGTATATTCATTTATATATGTATACTATTCATTTATACTCAATTAGTAAATAGTTCTTATCTCAATTTTATGAGCTTCCTTGTCTTTTCCTCTTATTTTCCTTCTCCACTGGAGGAGGGAGGGTTGAGGTGTGTGAGCGGCTTCGTGGCACTTGATTGCTAGCCGAGGTTAAACCACGACAGGGTGTCTCACAACCAGCTCCTTTGTTCGGGGAGTGACCGGTTTATATTCCTTTCATCTGTCTCATTCGTTACATGGTCCTGTGTCTTACTGAAGAAGAACATCCACCTCTGCCACTGTGCTTGGCTCTTGCTGTGCATCACATATGAGCAAGCTCGGAATTACTCTTTGATCACTTGCCAGCCGCGGCTGCAGATGCTGTCCGACAAGAACTTTGGTTAGATTCTCCTTGACTGAATCGATCTTTTTGCCTGTTTCAGTTGAGGTCTGGGCTCGAACTGTCCTCCCCGCTTTTATTTCCATTGGCTTCTAGGGGAGAGGGTGGGTAAGCAGAAGGGCTTCCTTTTGGGAAAACCCGTAGGATCTCGGATGGGCTCCCTGCTGCACACCCTCCCAGTGCAAACGCCTTTATCTCTGAGCAGATCTTACTTGCTGTATCAGACCTGCGTTGCTTCGTGTTTAGGAAGCCCAGGGGTGTCCAGGGAGATGAAAGGTGCCAGGAGCAGAAGAGAAGAAACGGACAGAAGGTTTGTGTAGGAGGGAGAGCAAATCATTATTTTTCTTTTTTGTTCCCATTGGGCAGCTTTAAATATAAACATTTTGGAACTGTTTCCTAAGTGAAATCTGCCGTACAGGATGACAGAAGGGGGAATATGTAAGAAATCTCAGAAATAGCTTTTGTGTTTGCCACGTGCAAGGATCGTCGTGTGTCAGTCTGCAGGCAGGTCTCCTTAGGCAGGTGTGATCCAGGGGCTAGAGGGGACGTGAGTGAGATGGTGACACGCGGAGGCTCTTCCCGTTCCCACTCGGAGAAGCGGAGCTGTCATTACAGAGCTGTTTCCTGCTGGCTGCAGACATGCTTCCCTGTGGCTAAACACCGGCTGCTCTCGGAACACCACTACAGCGGGTGTAGTCCTGACCCTCGGAGACAAACTCCTGTGCTGGCATTTCACTGAGGCTGTTTTCCCTTCTCATTTTGCCCTAGGCCACAGGTCTCCACCAGCAAGAAGCGGGCATCGTTGCGTGGCAGACAACGCCAACTTGTATGTGTTCGGAGGCTACAATCCTGACTATGATGAGTCCGGTGGGCCAGAGAATGAAGACTACCCGCTCTTCAGGGAACTGTGGCGGTACAACTTCGCTACTGACACCTGGCATCAAATGAGCACTGAGGGCTACATGCCGAGGGAACTAGCCTCCATGTCACGTACGTATGGAAATTCAATTCCTGTCTCCTACTCCTGAAGCTATTTTAATCGGTGTCCCTGGTGGAATGCAAAACAGGGCAAGAACTGGGAAATCTGGATCCCGTTTCCAATTCTTCTGCAAGTAGGCCTTGAGTTTGGGTTGGTTTTGTGATTTATTTATTTTTCTTTCACCTTTTGCTTGGGTTGAGGCAGGGGGAAATTAAAAATCTCAAATGCAAGAGGTAGGCCCCAGGCATTTAGCTTGACGCTTGCAAGGCACCTGCGCTTTCAGCAGCGAGGTGCTCTGTGCAATCAGACATCTCAAAGCATCCAAAAAATAGATCTCTTTGTTCACTAGCCGTTTTTAAAAGTAGGCCTTCGGTTACCATGGTTTTAGCTTGCATTCTCTCTCTCCTAGAGTGTTTCAAAGCCATAAATGCATCGTGTGAATTGTAGGGTGTTTGGACACTACGGAACACTCGCTGCCGGCTCTCTCCAGAGCAGAGTCATTCTGGTTTACTGCCTCTCACAGCAACAAGTCTCTCTGCTCTGTCTCTCTCTCCTAGTTGTATTGCACGGCAACAACCTGCTTGTGTTCGGGGGCACCGGGATCCCCTTTGGGGAGAGCAATGGCAACGACGTCCACGTCTGCAATGTCAAGTACAAAAGATGGGCTCTGCTCAGCTGCCGAGGAAAGAAACCCAATCGGATCTATGGCCAGGTACGAAGGACAGCCCTCGTCGAGGCACTTTGTGCCTGCGCGGTGGCACTCAAAAGGGGCCAGAGCACAAAGGCCTCTTCTCTGCTAGTAACTGGAGTTGTTCTCTGTGTACGTAAGCGTAAGGAAAGGCAGGTATTGCTCATAAAGAAATAGAGCGCTCCCGTTTCTTAGAGGTTTCAAAGGAAAGAAATAGTTTTGTTGTAGTTAGAAAACCCCAAATCTGTTAAATAAATACCAGATGCAATTAAATGAACAAGTATGTGTGATTTAAGGAGTGGTTGGTGGCTTCTGTAGTTGCTCTGTAGCTTCCTCAAAGCCTTTAAAATCCCACACTATAAATGAAAACAGTGTTTAGTCAGTTTCCTGTAAGAATTAACAACTTTTAAGACTTTTCATAATGTCCTGAATGAACACGGTGCACAAAACCGTAAATTCACTCTCAGGAGGGCTGCCAGCTTTTGCTGTGATTTCCAATGATGCTGCCAGTGTACTTGTGGCACAGACATTTATAACCCAACTAATTCCTCATTCAGATGCGCGCCAGGCACTCAGGGCAGGGAGGGTGGCCTTCCTCTTGCCCAGTTCAGCCCAAGCTGGCCTTTGGCAAACAGGCAGTTGGGAGCAGAAGCAGCTGCATCTCCGTTTTCACCTTGGACGAAGAATGGTGCCTCTCACCACCCTCACAGCTTCTGTGGGACGATACCCCTCGTGCAGCCTCGTTCAGGCTGTCTCTGTTGTTTAGTCTGGCTCATCCGCTCTGGTTGGGGCCATAACAGTATCTGTGTAAGGTCAGCGTGGAAGAGATTCAGGGTTAACTGCCTTGGTTTGAGCTCCTGGGAGCTCCTGCTGCACACATCTGTCTGGTCTGATGCCTGAAACTCAGCAGCTGCACTTCTAGGACCTCGTCTCATGACCATGGAGTTACTTTCCATTCCTACGGACACCCCCGACGCCATCAGGAGGGATGTCTTTTGTGTATCGTCCTTGCCGTACCTTCATATTCCTCCCACATGTGTCATTTTGTAAGTTGTAGGTAGAGCTTTGCAGGCAGTGTCTTGCTTTGGGAGAGAGGGAATTCTCTCTTTTTCAGACGCTGATGCCACGCGTCCTTTCTAACTGGTCTCTCTCTGTTACCTTCCAGGCCATGGCCATCATCAATGGTTGCCTCTACGTGTTTGGAGGAACAACCGGTTACATTTACAGTACTGATCTACACAAGCTGGACCTCAACACTAGAGAGTGGACCCAGCTGAAGCCAAACAATATGTCCTGTGACATGCCAGAGGAGAGGTGAGGAGCTGGACAGTCTCAGAGAGCTTTTACACTGGGGAGTGACCGCCTTTACTGGGAGTGAGAAGCTGAGGGAGTGGAGGCAGGGCAGTCGTAGAGCAGCGTTTTCAGCTGTGAGCCTTGCACAGCCAGTGCTCCCGCAGTCTGGCGCGCAGGGGTACGTAGGATGGGGTGTGAATCGTAGAATCGTTTAGCTCGGAAAGGGCCTTTAAGATCATCAGTGCAACCGTTCCCCCAGCAGGGCCAAGGCCACCACTAACCCATGTCCCTGAGCACCACATCCACACATCCCCTAAATCCCTCCAGGGATGGTGACCCCACCACCACCCTGGGCAGCCCTTTCCAACGCCTGACAGCCCTTTTCAGGAAGAAACTTGTCCTAATGTCCAGTCTAAACCTCCCCTCTGGGAGAGGGCCTCTGCCAGGACACTGCTCTGGACTGTGTGGTGACAGTGCAGCGCTGGGGACCTGGGATGGCTGGAGAGCACCCAAGAGGGGAAGAGGCTCTGGTTGATCCCCGTGTCCTAATCCATAGGAAGACGTGGAGGAAGGAGGGCTGGGAGATCAGTCAGTGACCACCTTAGTGAGACAAGGGGATGGAGTACTGGGGGGCACCATGGTGCTCTGTAAATCATTGTACCTAAGTTCTGTGGTGCCCTGCTCTCAGAAGATGCCTTTCGGGCTTCTGGGGTGCTGCGTAAATGGCTCACGAAAGCTTCCACCCCTTCTGAAAGCTCCCAACCTGCGGGACTGCTACAGCATAGCCAGGCTTGGGATGTTGGCTTAAACCACTCAGACTCGATAGTGTTTTCCAGAAACCTTTCTTGTTGCTCACTTGCTCTAATTTCTTGTGCTGCTAAATGCCTTTCTTTGCACCTTCAGGTACAGACATGAGATTGCACACGATGGCCAACGGATTTACATCCTGGGAGGTGGAACTTCCTGGACAGCTTATTCCTTAGATAAAGTAAGGCGGTCGGAAAGCCTGCAGGAGATTCTCTGCCGCGAAGCATAACCACCTTTTCATCTGGCTTTGTCTGGGGAGCTTGGTAAAAAAGTAACTGGGAGCAGATTGCTCTCCTGTCTCTGTAGAAACTGGTGTTGCCACAAACACGCTGTCTTACACGACGGATCTGGACAGCTTCAGTTCTGTAGATCTGTTATCAAAGAATCTCATTTTAAGACACTTAGGACATATTTCTGAATGCTGGCTTTGTGCCAAAGGAAAGAATTCCTTGGTGTTAAATTCAGATACTGATATAGCAACTCTCTTCTGACTTTCTCCGTTAATGGTCTGCTTTCATTTCCTTTCTTGTGGTAAACCTTTATCTCCAGTACAATTTGGGGAGGGAAGTGTGAATTCACCTTGGAGGCTGAAATGATAAATGAGGAGACTTGGAACAGTGCTCTGCTTCCAAAGAGGGTTGAAACAGCAGCAGTTAACATGACTTCTTACCTCTCCATTCTCTTCATTATTTCTTTCTCCTTACCTGCAGTCGGAGTTAGGTGCTTCTAAATACTTTGGAGAAGTGGAGGGTGTGGATTTTCATCGGTTGGGGTTTTTTAAGAGCAGTATTCTTTTTCTTTAGCTGTGGGGCTCAAATAGCAAAGCCTGAGGTGAAACCTTTAGTAAGCTGGTACGCCTTGAAGGTGATTTTATACCTGCTTAAGTCACAGGCTGCAATTAGCTCTTTTTGTTTTTACACTTCATGAAAAAGAGGCGTTATTTATAGTGGCTCCCTGGGTCAGAGCCTGTAACTGCGTCATGGTAGCGCTGGGAGAGCCAGGAGGAACTAATGGCTCCTCTTTGTCCCTCCAGATCCATGCCTACAACCTTGAAACCAACACCTGGGAGGAAATTGCCACAAAACCTCATGAAAAAGTTGGTGAGTCTGGAATTTCATGTGTTTTCCCCAGAGAGTGGCCAAGATGCTGTTTGCTGGCGTGCCGAAAGCCGTTCTCATAGCCTTGTACAGTACGTGACCTAACTCTGGCTTCAAGGTCCTGCTTGTTTAGAGCTTTAGCAGTCAGGACTGACCCTCCTGCAGCATCCTTAGCAGTCTGGCTGCTCTCCCTCCCTGGATGGGAAGGATGATAGTGGCTGGCTGCCCTCCCAGAAGACACACATCGTCTCTGCTCCCTCTGAGGGACCGCGTGCTGGCCTGGGTTTCCCTGAAACCTTGTAGGCCTTTGGCTGCTGCTTTTCACCAAGCCAGGGGGGAGAGTTGGAGTCTGTGGGGAATGAGATTCCGGCCTATTTCCTCCTTCCCTGGAGAGCAAGCAGGAGCCAAACCTTCTGAAACAGCCGGTTGCTAAATTAGAGATGTTATACCTGTGATTGTAGGAAAGCAAAAGCCTCTTATAAATTAAACAAGTGACTCCCTTCCCTGATTCTGTGTTGAGATATAACCACCACTTGCCCAAGCACTTTAAACCAACTAGAGGTGATATATTTTTTTGTACTCTCCTCAGGTTTCCCAGCAGCCAGAAGATGCCATAGCTGCGTTCAGATAAAGAATGGTAAGATCCGCCTCTTGAAAACTGGTGTCTCTCATAAGCCTAGCAGCGACAAGCTCGTCCTTCTCGCCTGAGGTGCTGGCCTCCAGCACACTGGAGAGAACTGCAGGGCATACGTGCCTCTCCTGGAAGAGGATTTCTCCTTAGCAGGCCTTCAGCTGCCCAGCTGGCACCACTCCTCATACGGGGGGTCTTGCTGCTGTAGGCAAATTTCCTTCTGCGCTGCACGTTACTGTCACTCTCTGGAATTCTGCGGTATTTTATGCAGCACCTCAATCTCCCTGGGACATGTAAAGCGTAAAATAGCTCCTGTTTTAGCCACGAATGCCCGTGGGACTTTGCACCTTAATGGTTGCAAGCTCATGAAGAGATATGGATGATGCTTCTGCTGCAGCTTGCGGACTAACGTGTTACAGTCCGCTGTGAAAAGCCAAGAGGGGCCGAGTCCTGGAAGCTGAGTTCTTTAGAGACAAGATTGCTTGGGGATTTCTGTGGTAGTGGGTGCTTTCCGTGGTGTTACAAATCCGAGATGCTCAGATGGAGTGGATTGTGAGGCAGTAGCAGAGTCAGCACCTGAGTCTTCCCATTCTCTAGGAAAGCGAGGCCTGGTTGATACGTTGGGAGCTGCACACGGAGCTTCGAGCCTTTTGTTCCTCGCTTTGATCCTCCACATGTTCTTGCTGCAAATCACTCTTTGAAGAGCAGCTTAGAGAGGGCTCTGCATGTGCAATTC